TCTGGGTAAGGTGAAATCCAAGAAAACACAATGTATGGGTGACGTCCTGTTGGGCTAAACATCCATGTTTAGCACATGCATGCTGCTCCTGCTGGCTTCAGAAACTACCTCCTTACCAGACTGGGTATTTAGGCATGTTCTCACTCTCCCTTTGTAAGGTACCAGGACCCTAGGCCCTTGTCATCAAGGACATGGCAACAAAGCGTTAGAGCCTAAACTGGATGAAGCTTTTATGCTCTCAATGTACCTATTAACAAAACTTCTTTTTTTCCTAAAGCACATAAAGAAAATGCAGCAGCATTATGCAAACCACAGACTATTAAAAAATATTGACAAAACGCACATAAAGATTTTGGGCTCTGAATGGGCAGGGGAAGGGCGAACAAAATTTCAGTCATGAAACTGGTGAAGAGGGAAAAATGTGTGATTTAACTTGCCTAACCCATAGTGCCTCTGTGGGGAAACTCCACACAATCTCTGCAGATCAGTGTGAATCATGCTACTTCTCCCGCACAAATAATGCCCCACTTTATTTTCCCCAGGGATATTATCTAAATGTATTAGATTTGCAGCAAAATTGGTAAAAATACTGTGAAACTGGTAGACACATCACATTCTAATTTCTTCAGAGGAATAATAATAAACATTAGTGAAATATATTCTATTGACCATTGGTACAGTGACCTGTTTTAGTAATATGGAATAATAATTGTGGGAAGATGATAATATAGGAAAGAAACTAGAGCCAAAGAAAGTGCGTGCTCCACGCAATGAAATGATCACCTATAGGGCTGAGATAATCCAAAGCTTGCTGTTAAATTTCAACAGCACTGTCAGATTGACGGTTAAACTAAATCACACACACAAGACCCATATAATTATAATTACTGTGTGGAAAAAGGCAGGACAGCGGCCTTTGGCTCTCGTATGAACTTTTTGTTAGAGCCAGGCATGATGGTACTATCACAGATGATGTTAACAAGCACTTAGGAAAGTATTTTTTCTTGCTCTTGTTGCCTGTGTCTGCTGTGAGAAATATCTATTTTAATTTTCACATGATTCAGAACTGGGGGGAAAGGAAAGGAAGAGAACTGGATTTTGTCCAAATGCATTCAACAGTTCACTTGAAATTTAACTAAGGGTCACTAATGAAATAGATTGGATGAATGCTAGAGGATAATTGCGGAGCAGGCTAGAGCTTGGAAAAGAACAGTCTGAGTTCAAGTGCAGCTTGCAAGCCACATCTAATACGTTTTTCTACTGTGACAAGTATTCTGGCAAGTATTTTGTTGCACCCATAAAAACCTGAAGACTGAAGATAACTCGTTTCCAGCTTCCGAGAACTGCTCACAATAAAAAAGCCTGAAACAGACTAAATTCTAAATTTGTTGTTGACTTCATTGACTCTGAGAACAAAGGGAGCTAATCTCCAGGGGGAGAGGGCTTTACAAGCTCTTCCTCCTTCCCACCACACAGCCGCTTCTCTACCACCGCACAGGGCAGAGGACTCACCTGCCCACCAGATGATCGAATCCTTGCATCACCATATTCCATGGAGGATGCTCTGAGGATGCATGCAGACCAAAAATTCACAACTGCGGTCAAGGACTCAACCACAAAGCAGCTGAACAGCAGGGGACCCATGTATTCTTTAAGGCTGTTATGGCCAAACTGAGAGCTCTCACGGTATTTATTAGAAAGCAATCACCTTTTGGCACTGACAAACCAGACCTCTGTCAGGCTAAATATTGGCCATCATGGGTCAAAATGACAGATTGAGACCACTGGGAAAATATATTTCTCCTGACCAGGTTTTGGGAATTTAAAATAATCACTGTGGAACCCAACTAAGCTTCTGCAATATTTAGCGACAGGCAATTCCTGTGCCCATTAAATATTTTTTAAGTCTCCTACACAGGTGATAATAATGACCAGACATGCTACCTGTAGCTTTCCTCGCAGTTACAGAGTAAACGTAGGATTCGCTGCAGTTAACGGATGGTTACATAGTCCTTGCCACCACTGATAAGAAATATAGAGCATTAAAATAGTTTTAACACCAATTGTCTGTGAACTGAACTCATGTTCATATTCATTTACTATCTTCTATGCTCTGCAGCATGATTGCTTTAAAGCCTTTATCAAATTAAATGCAGATTATGATCAAAAGCGAGTGGATGTTTTAATCCGGAATCAGTAAATCTCCTTCTAAAAACCTTTTTGCATGGGAAGTACTTCCTAGTATGAATGATGATGATAATAATTTGAACTGTCAGTACTAACTTTAAGGGAGAGCTGCCAGCACAAGCTTAGCCTATCAATGGTTATTAATTTATCGTTAAACAAGTAATGACAACAGAAAAGCAGGAAGCGATGGTGCTGAATTCTGACGGGATTCTTCCTTTATAAGGCACTCGAGTAAAGCTACTATCTTTTCAGAGAGCCTCTTTTGGTGTCAAAAAGAACATCCAAGTAAATGTCACTCCAGAACGAAGGTAATTATTATATTAGAGACCTGTATGGTAACAGGCATGCATAATTTAGATTCTAACTACACATAAACAGATACATACAGCTGAGGACATGTGTTCGGCTGACAAACGATTTGCAAATATTATTCTGTTTACACAGAGACACAAAGTTCAAGGTGGCCTCAGTTAGTAAACAAAGACGGAAAATGTACCTCACACATTTACCCCATGCCTGAAAAACAAGCCATTTAGAAGACATCTGGATGTTCAAAAATTAGCATGACGGTATTCAGAGCCCATCAAAACATGCAGCCATAGCTTGGCGTCTAGTAGCTAAGCAACGTACTTCATACATTCAAAACACAGTTGTAAAAGTTGGATCCTCCTGCCAGTTGCTGCCACTCTCATTGAAAAGCTAAACTGGAAAAAATCTCTCCTTAGTTCAAAGTGGGGCTGTTTTCTCCAGGAAACATCTCTACTGCTTTTTCATCCTTTAACCCTTTTTGTGTTTACATTCCAAGAGGAGCAAACAGATTCATGTTGACACTTCAAGTGTAAGCATATAAAAATCGTGTGGACTCACACATACTCCCTGCAAAGAGCGTCATGAACACACGCAGCAAGAAACTGCAGTCTTGTTCTTACTGAGTCAAATAATGAAATGTAATGACAAAAAATGTGTGTGTGCACACAGCAAATCATTGAAGCAGATTAAGTTATGCTGAATTGCACTGAGGAGCTAATCCCGTACTTAAACGTGTTAAAATGTAAACCAAGAAAAGGGAAGCCTGTGCTTTTTTCTTGCAAGGCATTTACATCCCTAAGTAACAGCGCAGGCAGTATTTGCATCTTAAGAGTGGAAGGGGACACAGGAACCGTGACATTTTGTTTAGTTTACGTACTACTTACATCCAAAAGAAGTTACTCTACGCATGGAAGATGTATTGCTCAGGACTCTTTGAAAGTGGATTACTGATTAGCAGCACACTCTTATTCTGGCAGGAGGGCATCCACGCAAAGAATTACAGATAAGCATCTGTAAAGCAAGTGCACTTTAAATTCACATCCTATCTCAATCCAAATTAACTTAATAATTGATGTTAAGATTCACAGTCTGCCACCCTAAGAGTTTCTGAATTGTAATAAATCCCAGGGAAAAAAAATGTGAATATCGTCAGAGAGAAATACTCTTTAGTGAGAAGTGATGGATTCTGGCCCAGGCTTAATTAATAAGCCATTAGAAAGGATGTTTATAGAAAAAAACCAAGAGCATTCTGACCCAGCCCAGGTAGCCTGCTTTCATTCAGATTATAATGATAAAAAAATGAAAGCTTGCGAATTGGCCCAATGGGCTTTAAACTGCTAAAAAAGGCTCCTGCTGTACAAGTGATGCCTGACTGACACAGAACCTAATGTTTCAACTATTTACAGCTATAAAAGCAAGCCAGGCGCTTTTTTTCCCCCTTCTGGAGCAACTCCTTCCACAAACCATCCAAAGCATCCTTTTTGGCAGGCTTCTATGATGTAGAAAAGCAGGAGAACTCAAACGAATGGAAAGTCATGCAGTTATTTTTTTCGTACTTGGGGAAGGGAAAAAAAGAAAACACCAAACCCAAACCGCTGAAGGGATATACTTAAAGAAGAACTTCACTGCATAAACTCAGCCACATGTCTACTAGAGCAATGTCCCTTAACGACCTCTGGCAATGCAATTCATTAACAACCACGCAAGGGAGCAAGACACAACTCTGCATGGGTAAGACCGGTTGGATCCGACGTACAGTTGATCACGACACCCATTTTTCACTTGGGCAGCGAGAAAGAGACTGCATCCCCTTACCAACAGCCCAACTCACTCAACTTCTGCAGCTCTGTTTACCTGCGGTTTGCATTTATGTCCTACCCTTGAACCACAAGCACTGCCAGCTTCCAGTGCGGCTGAGCCGTTCGTGCTGGAAATAGCACCTCAACGCACTGAACAAGGAAGTCGCGCGTACTTTTAAGGTGTTCTCTGCCATTTTCCTTAGCAGGTTTGTTCGGGGACTAGTTTAGGCTAGGGAGTGCTATCAGCCCTTTGCCTGGACCACCTCTCCTGGAGACGCAGGGGCTGTGTGTGAAACATCTCACTGGGAAAGATGGAACAACGTCACCTCTCAAGCAGAGATAAGTTAGGTGGCCTCAGACGAGTCCCTCAATCAGGCAAATTACCACCTCTCCACCTGCCAGGAGTCCCAGCACCGCACCGGCACGAATGACCACGTACCCTGCAGTGGGGATGACCTCGCAGAGGAGGGGGCACACACAAATGCAAACACAGTTTGTTGGGTTTTCAACCCCTCTTCCATCCCCGGCAGCTGTGCACATGGGTGCCAGTCCCCAAGATGCAGTGCAACCTGCCAGGAGACAACCACCGGGCAAAGCAGGGCAGTGTGGCTGGAGGGCTGCCAGGGCGGCCTCACCGCAGCCCTGTCACCCCCCAACACACCGTTCGAGGGACACCGAGTCGCCGTTGGTCGGGGTGATGCCTACCTCGCGGGTGAAGAGGATGGCAGCGTCGTAGTGCTCGTCATGGTCGTCGTCGAGGCGGTTGTGCTGGTGCTGCCACTTGCAGAAGTTCTTGAGGGTGGTGGCAGCGTTCCTGTTGACCTCCAGCCCCTTCTCCTTCTCACCCAGGGCCCCCACCTTCACCACGGCCAGCCGGACATGGTTCTCCAGGCTGGCGTGGGCGTAGAGCCGGGAGGCGATGGAGGACAAGGTGAGCAGGTAGTGCTGCAGCCCCTTCCCGTACTTGCGGACCATGGAGGCGTCGGCCACCAGCAGC